CAGGGGGTCGGTGATGGCGTGGGGGGAAAGGGGCACTCACAGAATGAGGGCAGTTGGCAGCTCTGGGGAAGGACAGGAACCGCTGCAGGGAGCCAGGCAGCAGGTCCCCCTGCCCTCTGGCAAATGCTGTATCCAGGGCAGATCAGCGCCCTGAACTGGGGTCTCAGCATGCTTTGTCTTGGCCCACGTTTTCTCGCTCTCCTGAAAGATTTGTTTATTTTTGTCCAACACGCAAATTTACACAGAGAGAAGGACACATGGACGCACACAGTAATAAGAGAGAGAGAGAGAGAGAGAGAGGGAGAGAGAGAGAGAGGGAGAGGAGAGAGAGAGAGAGGCTCTAGCTTTTGGTTCACTCCCCAAATGGCCACAACACTTGGGAGCTGAGCTGATCCAAAGCTGGGAGCCAGGAGCCTCCTCCAGGTCTCCCACGCAGGTGCAGGGTCCCAAGGCTTTGGGCTGTCCTCTACTGCATTTCCAGGCTATTATCAAGGAGCTGAATGGAAAGTGGAGCAGCTGGGACTCAAACCGGCATCCACAAGGGATGCCAGAACTGCAGGTGGAGGCTTACCAAGCTTTGCTACCGCACTGGCCCCTTTCAACTTCATTTAGCTAGATCCATGGCTAAGTGGGTGGGGAAAACAGGTCAAGGGGCACTTGTCCTTGACCCTCGCTCTCCTCACACCTGGGGTATCCCATCCTTCTCCTTCCCTCTCTGGCTTGACCTCACCATGCAGCCAGCCTGGGCTTCACTGCCTCCCCTGCCTTCACAGAGCTCCCAGCCCTTCAGCTGGAGGCTGCGAAGGGAGACAAGGGCTCCAAGCCAAAGCAGACATGGGACACTCAGGACAGGGGCACGCATCAGCGTAGAGCCCGCGGCCCAGCCTGGCCCTCAGCTGCCCAGGCTTCTGCTTGGACTCCAAATCAAAGAGCCTTTCTGGGCGTCTCAGTGGCCTGGCCCCAGCCCACAGGCAATAGCCCCTGCCAAGGTCCTAAGCCTGCCACTCCCGAAGTGGGCAGGGACAACTGGCACAACCCCTCGGTGCCCAGACTCCCTCTCTACCATGCTGGCCAGATGGAGCCGAGTCCCAGCAGCCCCTGTCACCGACTGCCTTCTCTGGACTCAAAGGCAGACAAGAGGTTCCGGTCTCACTCACAGTTCTGACACCCTCTGGCCAGGCTGTGTGTTCACAGAGGAGGTGCCTCGCCGGCGCTGGGTCCTGAGGGGCAGGGCAGCGAGCTCAGGGCTGGTGCTTTCGAGCCCAAGTCAAGGAAGCTTTCATGACACTTGCTGCTCACCGCCTCTTCTTCCAGGCCAGGTGCTCTGGCAGCGATGAGCCACTTCGGGTTTTCTGGGGCTAGGGGTGGCGTTGTGGGTGCCATGGCAACCACGAGGAAGATTCTAAGCATTACTTGTTCCTGGTTCCAGCACAGGTGCCCCTGTGTCTCAGGCTCTCTGGGGAGCCATGGCCCCCAACATCCAGCCTGGAAGCCATGAAGCCCCCACACCTCCACTAGAGACCACCAGGTAGGGAGCCAGGGCCATCCCTGTTCCCACAGTGCCCCAAATCCACCCTCAGCTGGGAAATGAGAAGACGGGCCTTGCTCCGGTTACTACCGGTCCAGCCGCTGGGCGGGCGCTCCATTTGTAGCCACCACTACACATTCCCTTAAATGTGGAGCCACAAAACAAAGCCAACCACAGGTATGAAGTTAAAACAAAAAAATGTACAGCACCATGGAGTCGAAAAATGTGCCACCGAATAACCAACACACGCGTGAAGAAAACACAGAAGCCTAATGGGCACAATGATGCCACCATGCAATCCATGAGCCAGTGATGAATTTGACAAGAGGAAAGAATCTATTTGGAAGAAATGAAAATGAAAACAAAAACATCAAAACACATGGGATGCAGCAAAAACAGTATGGAAAGGGTTATTGAACTTACAATTTGCACGAAGATTGTCTTATATCACAGAGAACATACGGTATTTGTCCTTTTGGGATTGACTCATTTCACTGAGCATTACGGTCTCTAGCTGGGACCATCTAGTTGCCAATGGTATACTTTCATTCTTTGTAATGGCTGAGTAATATTCCATGGAGTAGATATACCACAGTTTCTTCAACCACTCCTCTTTGGACGGGCATCTGGATTGTTTCCATGTCTTTGCTATTGTAGATTGTGCTGTTGTAAATACAGGATTACAGATCCCCTTCTCATATGCAGTTTTCATTTCCTCTGGATCTATTCCTAGGAGCAGGATAGCTGGGCCATAAGGCAGGTTTATTTGCAATTCTCTAAGCACTCTCCATACTGACTTCCACAGTGGTTGTACCAGCCTACACCCCCAGCAGCAGTGGAGGGTACCTTTCTCCCCACATCCATGCCAGCAGGTGTTAGTAGAGTTATGAATGTAGGCCAATCTCACTGGCTTTTAAAATCACACGCAGGAAAAGACAGAGCCCACAACAGTTGGAGCTGGGCCAGCTGAAGCCAGGAGCCCAGAACTCAGTCCAGCCTACTGATTGGGGTGACAAGTGTCTGCAGTTGTAACTGTTCCCAGACACAAGTGTGTTAGGGGAGTTGCTGGCGGTTCATGAAGCCCCTAAGGGTGCACTTGGGTTTCAGGAACCTCTTTCGGCTTGCAGATTTAGGGTCCTGGAGTGAAAGAGGCTCACCATTGAACCTATCCTCCACCACGTGCGCGGAGTGCATCCAATGCACAGGTGTTTGGGCTTAGCGGAAGTCACAGCAGCTGCTGCTCTGCAGACAGGATTGGGGGACAGGGCCCACGGGGTCCACTGTTCTCACCTGTTCCTACATTTCAGCCCAGCTCCCTCGGAGGCCTGGAGAGGTAAGGACAAACTCAGCGAGAGAAACTGATGGGAGACAGGGGGCAGGGCTGGGAACAGGGGACTGGGGCTCCATTTCAGCGGAGGCAGCAAGTCAGCTTCCGACAAGGACAAGGGCGCAGGGGCTGTGGGGCCAGAGGTGGAGCCCACACTCCAGAGCCAGGCTGCTAGCTCCTCTCACACACACAATTCTTGACCGACTGCAGGCTTGTCTGCTTCCAGCCCTGCCCTGGATGAGATACACTGAGATGCCCTGTTGGCAAATGCCACTGTGGCCTGGCAGCACCCTGAACCCTCCCAGAACCCGAGTCCAAGTCCAAGTCCAGGTCCTAATGCTGATGGCTCATGGCTCCCCCTGCTGTCCATCTTGCTTCACTGCAATGGGCAGTAAAACCCAACTTCCTCAACCAGTTTGTTTCCGTAGGCTGCTGGTTGGAGTGCGAGACACCCTTGACGCAGGTGACCTACTCTTAAGGACTCAGCCTAAAGAAGTACATTTGTAAACCTAAATAGAGACACTCACATGTACGTGCAATGGGCGTCAGCTAAATACATTTTGGCATCGTCCCACATTTAAGGGTATGACAGTTTACTGTAACACAAGGAATGTTGCACAGGACTAGGGCACAGGACTAGGGTAGATGGCTGCACAGGTGTGGCGCTGCCCAGCTCCAAAATGCTCCTCATCCAGAAACAAACAGATGCAAGTTCCTAGACCAAGAAAAAAGTCGTAAGAGCCAAGACAGCATTCATGTTGAGGACTGGACATCTTAGCTGAGTGTTGAAGTTTTTAGTGATGAAAAGTTTTGGTTGGCTAATGAAAGCTTTCAAGAGATAAAACGCTGTTCTGCGGTGGTGGCTGAGGTCAGATTCCACAGCAAGGGCAGGGTACTCTGGCTGGGTCATGTGAGCACCTGGATAGAGGTCATGGCTGCCCCTAAAGACAGGTATGAGCTGGAGGTGGGGTCTGGCAGAGGGTGCTGGGCAGTGGGGGCAGGGAGCTTGGCAGGTGCGGTACCAGATGTGGGATAAAGGTCAAGACTAGAGCAGGAGAGAAAAGTTCTCAGTGTCTCAAAGAGGCCACCAGTTAGCGTACCCATGTCCCTCTCGTTCAGTGCTGCCTGCACAGCGGGTACCCTCCACCTTGCAAGTCATGGAAGACTGCCACCTGTGTCACCCCGGGAGGGTGGCCCCACCGTGATCTGCTGTGGCTAGGGCTGGGCCAAATGAGCCAAGGACACCAGGGCTCCAGCCTGCTCCCCAAGCTCGCACCCCACAGCACAGCAGCAGCTGTCACACCAGGAAGGACTGTCCTCCCCCAAGAAATGGGACCACATGTGAAGACACCGTCTTTGTGGATACAGCTGGGGAGACAGATGCCATCACCTTGGGCTGGGGGCAGGCCCTAAGTCCAACGGTCACTGTGCTGCTGAGAGAGGATGGTGAGGTTCGACACACAGAGTGCCAACTGGTGACAAAGGGCGGGGCTTCCAGGGTGGCACTTCCTTGCCGAGGCACACAGGGCGCGAGGCCGGACCGGGAGTAGAGCAGGTAGGAAGGACGGCAACCCACTCCTTCCCCCATGGACACTGTGCTTCTGGACTTCCGGCTCTCACAGAGGGACCTTTCTGTTCTTCAGTGCTCGAGGCTCCTGGTGACTTGCAGGCAGCCTGTGGAGACCTCTGTCCCCGCACTCACCTGCCCCACGGAGCTGGACAGCAGCCACCTTGCTAAGCAGCCGAGTTGCCCGTGTCCCATCACCCTTTCCAGGCACTCAGAGGGCAGTGCACAGTTGACCTTCACACACTAAGGGACTGGCCAGAGGAGTGACCACTGCTACGGCCTTGACCAATACCTGGAAATAGATTTTGGCTTTTAAGCGCAATGGGGCATTTAAAAACCAACATCTAAGCTAATCCAATGCATCCACTGAATTATTTAAGCAGCAATTCAGTATTTCTCATTAGCTTCAATCATCCAAACCAGCTGTGGCGACAGAAAGGAAACAGTATTGAAATCTACAAAGTCAGCCCCACAAAGCAGCACCGTGGGCCAAATCTGATATCTCACTAGACAAAGGTGAGAAAAGCCTCAACCTTTCCCGGAAAACAAACCACAGCCACACTTGTTGCCAAGATCCAAAGGAAAAAAAATTTATTTACAATAGAGAATTTTCTTTGAAACATGCATTTCTTTTGAAAACAAATCAACAAATGCAGATCAAGTTCAACTCCTTAAGGCAAGAGTCCCTATGCACGCTGTACAGGTTCACACGAGGTCCAAAAGGGCTTGCCCTGGGAACTCGGCACAAAGCAAGGCCAGGGCAGCACCGTTGTCTTTTAGAGAATTGGATGATCTCCCTGATACAGGAGCTCTGCGGTCAGCTTGCTATGAATGAGACGAGCAAAATGCAAACCGATAGCAAGAAATTCTGATAGCGCCCTTAGTACTGCGATCAGACCAACTTTATTTAGAAAGGAAATACAGTAGTGCATACAAAAATGTGAGACCACCTGGCCGTGGAACCAGGAGCACAGCAGCGTGCTCACGGTCGTATTGCACGCAACGGTCAAGTCCAGACGTTGGGGTCAAAGTTAGCTCTTCCCCATTTTGGCGATCAGCTCATCACAAATCTTGGTGAGTTCTTCTATCTCTTTATTCTGAAAACAAAGACAAGAAAGAGGTTGCTGGGGCTGGCGTGGTGGTGCAGTACAGACATCTCAGCTGCCCTGCTTCCCATACGGCTCCTGCTGATGCACTCGAGAAGACAGCAGGTCCGCGGGCCTGGGTTTCTGTTCCCACGTGGGAGACCCGGCTGCAATTCTGTGTGCTTTCTGCTTGCAAGCCAAGGTTCCTGGACCTTTCCATCCCTGGACCGGCATAAGAGAACTGACAGCCCTCCCAGGAAGGGCTCCTATGGGGATATCAGCTTGGCCTCCACCTGCCCAGAGTCTCTGCTCCAATCTCACAACTCCCAGAGGCTCCGAGATGCCTGCTGGATCAGAGGCTTAGTCCAGGGTGCAGCCCTAAGATGGCTCTTACTGCCACTGCTGCCCCCACTGGGATCCTCAGCTCCTGGCATCACCCACCCAGCACATGCTGGCCGTCGCACTACCGACAGCCCAGGTGCTACACCCTGGCTCGGTACTCAGGGCAGCCCCTCAAAGCGAGTCTTGATTAGCCGAAGTTTCCAGCCAAGAAACAGACGCTCTGGGAGGTTCAGGGATCTGCGGAAGGCCGCACAGCCAGCACAGCCATCAGGTGAGGCATGCCCAGGAAGGCTCCATTTCCCGGGTAGACAGGAAGGAAGCCAGACTCGGGGCTGGCATCCAATGGAGACTTCTGTGGGGAGCCACGAAGCAGGCGCCATTGTACAGGCTGTGCCTGGGAGCAGCAGGGGCCCGGCAGCCAGGCCTGGGGGCAGCCATGGCCTGCAGCCTCTCACCTTCTGCTCCAGCGTCCTCTCCAGTGCGTCCACTCTCAGTTGCTCCTTCCGCAGGCTGGCCTGGTAGGCGGCCTGCTCCTGCTGGGCCTTGCCTCGGACCTGGGCGATCTCAGCGTTGGCCCTGTGGGGACACAGGATGTCACTGCAGATGCTCTCACTGCATCCCCCACCAGACGTTAAGCAGGGAGTGGTCTGGCTCTAGATTTCACCAGCCAGAGCCCAGGCAAGAATGCCAGGAGAAAAGCCTTTCATGTCTGTGTGATGCTGAGGCACTCTGGGGTTCCTGGCATTACAACAGGCACCCAGCCCGTTGTATCAAGCACGCCCCAGCCTGCCCTTTCCAAGCCAACGCTGGGACATGCGCAGCAGGTCCCGGCCTGCCCGGGGAGAGGCTGGCTTACCTGTCCAGCTTTTCCTCCGCGTGCACCTTCAGGGCCTGGTACCTCTGCTCCTCCTTCTTGACTCGGGACAAGTACTCCTGCGCACATTTCTTCAGTACCTCCTCATTCTGACACAGGGAGAGGAGGTGTCAACATCCAGAAGGCTTGGTGAGTTCAAGGTCTGCTGGCCACAGGTGCAGTCCTGGGCAACCGCGCCTCGCTCCCCAGCTGTGGAAGACCCCTCCTCACCTCCAGGAAGCCCTCGCTGCTCTCTCACCCAGGGCTTCTGCACCCTCACTGCTCTACCCCGCACAGCCCCACCTTGCGGAAGCCTTCCAGAACTTCCTTCATCTTCTCGTATCTCCGGAACAGGTCAGCCAGTGACTTCTCCACAGAGTTCAGGTCAGCCAGCGCCTGCTCCTTCTCCAGAACCAGCTGCTGTACCGTCTGGTGGGAGACCGACTTCTCTCTCTGCTCATCCTCTGGGGAGAGAGATCAGGAGCCAGGGATGCACCAGGCAATCTCAGTCAGCAGGGTAGTTTGAACCCCTGCTCCTCCCAGGGTGGACACCTTCTAGAATCAAACACCCAACCCGGGCATCCCAGCCCGGGGCCCATGCAGCATCACACGGGTTAGGCGGCGGCCACCGTTCTGTCGCCCAGTGGATGCAGGCTGGCCTGGTAGGCTCAGCTTTGTGATAGCATCAGTTCTGTAACGTGGGTTCTGTGCTGGCACGGGCTCTCGAGGGAGCCGTGCCGTTGCCGGGAGGGCGGGACTTCCTAAGCGTTGTCAAGACGGAGTGAAAAGGTTTCCTTCATCCTTAACTCATCCAGAAACCCAAATCCCACCGAGCTTCTCCTCCACACTCCAGGGCCCACAGGAAGCACGAGCTGTTTCGATAGAGAAAATGTCTCAACTGCAAGAAAACAGAGCTCACTCCATTCTCAGCGATGTTCAGAAGAACCTGATTTGGGTGCAGGTCAGAGCTAGAGCAGCTGCTCCTGTGGGCAGGAGCTGTGTCGGCCTCTACCCCGGCTGTCTGGCTCGTGGCCCGCAGAGCTCCCGTGATCATCTCCCACACCCACAAGGCTATCCCTGCATTGACAGGGCAGCTGCCTCTGAGCATTCCACACACCGAGGCGCTGGCCCCACACTGCCTCGAGCCTCTGCTGTGCTGGGGCTGCCTGGGAGGGTGGGGCAGAGGAAGGGCCGGGCTGGGCACACCTGTCTGTTGGCCCAGGGACTGGCTTGGAGGACAGTAGCTACAGGGTGGGTTATGGCAACAACATACAGAGTTCGTCTAGGTGTCCACAACACCCCCACACCACTACCAGGGGTCAGATGGGGTGACCACCTGACACCAACCTGCAGCCCCTTGACCCATGACCTCTTCTGCAGGTCATGGGACCCAAACCCCCTGCCCAACCTCTGCTCCGGCCTCAATGGCCTCAACACCCCATCATGGCTCCTGCCCCAGACTCAGCCAATGCCAGTAGTGTGGGCACCACCTCCCTTACTGCTCCTTACTGCTGTGCCATTCTCTATGCAGCACTAGCTGTTCTGTACCATAACGGTAGGCACTGGAGTGCCTGTGCAAGTACGCAGGGGTGCCTGGCCAAGCACACATGCTGGCTGCTCATGTTCCTGCTGAAAGCCCACTGCACAAGTGCAGGTACCAACTGGTATCTCGTGTGTCCACTGCTCTGTCCCAGGGCATGGGACAATGGCTGGCACACAGGTGGCCAACATGCAGCGTGAAGGAGGGAAGCTTCAGGGCACCCCGAAAACCACATTCTTCAACTTCCCGGACAGAAGGTGAGATGGAGGTTTGAGAAGCTGAGTCAGTCACCTCACCGCTGAAGCGACAGCAGAACCTGGACCCCAAATCGAAGCTGCAACCAACACTCTGACCTCTTCCAACAACAGACCTCAGTATACGGCTCCCTCAACAGTGGATCTAAGCTCCAGCCCCAACTGTCTGGGGGGAACAGTCCTATGCAGACTGCAGTGCACCCCAGCCCTGGTTCTGTAGGTCTGGGGGATAGGCCCCAAGAATCTACATGTAGACTAGCTTTCCCAACTGCCCCATGTCCCTCCCCAAGCCTGTCCCTGGGATCACAGGGCTCTCAAAAGGCCCTGCTGGCAGCAGCGTGGAGCTGCTTTGGTCATGGGGAAGATGCTGGCCATTCTCATTAGCCAGGTTCGAGTCCCAGTACTGCGGCTCACAGGCAGTGTTTTCAATTTGGTGGGTCTCAGCCACCTGCCCTCACAGCCCTGGGGACCCACTCTGTGACCCTCTGCCTCCAACACCTCTGCCACAGCAAGGCCCGTGACAGCCATCCTTGACCCCTCGGGACAGGGGAGCTCCTTGACACGGTTGCCAGTAACGCCAGGCTCCTGGAGAAAGGGCACCGGCAGTGCTCGTCTCCATTCTTTGCCTTGTAGGTATCTGTGCCAGCGTGCCCTGCAGGGCACACTCTGGGTGAGGGGGGCGGGGGACTGACAAGTGCAGAGTCAGTCTGACTTGCTGCAGCCAAGACGCCTGCCTCAACTTTCCTTCCTTCACTACCTGACCCTTACAAAACAGGACCGCCTGGCAGGCTGAAAGGCCGGATCCTGCCCCAATCTCTTCGTAAGGGACAAATGCAGTGAAGTGTTTTAAGTCAGGAAATCCGCCCGAAGCCCCAGACGCTCCAGATTCCAAACCCAAACCCCTGGAGATTTTTCTGCCCTCTTTTTTTTTAAGGGCAAAATATGATTAACTCACATGACAAACAACAACACACAAAAGCAAAAACAACAAAAACTGGAAAAACAAACAAACAAACAAGGGCTGCAACAGGCGGGTAGGGAAAGCGCTTTACTTACCAGGCTTGCCTGTTTGTTTTGCAAGCAAAGGGCAAGAAGCAACAGAAAATGGAAGCAAAACACATCATCAGGGCAGTCGTTAGGAAAGCAGCGAAAATCAGTTGCAACAACCGAATGCAGGAAGCACAGGGGGCTCTGTTTTCAATTCCACAGAGTCTGTTCTCGGAGCTGCAGCAATCGATCTCTCTAACAGGAGTGGGTGGAAATGGACAGCAAGGCAGGACGGGGACACAGCAGCGAGGGGCATCTGTGTGTGAGCGAAGCGTGGGAGCCATGGCTGGGAAGGGCTGGCTGGTACATGTGGGGTGGGACTGCTTCCAACCGCAGAACCCTCTGGCGTCCCTTGGGCCTTGAGCTAGCTCTCTGGAAAGGGGAAGAATGCATAGACACTGGGCGAAGGCAGGTGGGCATGTTCTGCAGAGGGAGTGACCACACCTGCCCACTCACCGCCCGTCCTGGACGTGAGGACCCCAAAGTCTGTGAGGGCCTCAGGGAGTGATGTACGCTAGTGCCTGGGGGATGATGGCCACAGACACTGTCCCCAGGAAAGCAGCTGGCCGGGAGGATGGTGAGCAGTGAATGCAGGGACAGGAAACAGCCTGCAGGGACCATGCTGCTGCCAGTAAGAGGCACTGCAGGCATCTCAGGGAGCCCCCAAGCAAGGAAGGTGCTCACGGGGGTCAGGTGCCACAGCTGCTGCAGGGAGGGAGCTGGGTGGAACACCAAATCCCCACCAGGTCTCCCGGGTGCGTGTGTGTATGTGTGTGTGCGAGTGTGTGGCCAGAACCCTGGGAGTATCTCACAGGGAAGGAGCTGGAGCTGGTCCATGGTCCTTAGATCGCCCAGTCCAGGCTGACTGCCTCACTTGCAACGACTCCATGAGGACTGCATCAGGGGTGCCACCTGTCACCTTATGGCAACTACAGAGCTCCTCACGCTTTGTGCTGTCACAGGCAATGTCTGTTTACACCCACATGAACAACAGTGTCACACAAAATCGTGTGGGGCCCCCTTCTGCCCAGGATCAGGCGTTCATGCCTTTTGACCCCCCATCTTTAGCACTACGCACAAACATAAACCCAAGAGTGCCTGTGCTCCAGCAAGAAGCTTCTGGATGAGCCAGGGGAGGGGTGAGTGACATACCCACATCCCACGGTGCCAGCAGGCCAGAGTGCACGCCACATGGGCCAAACTCCACATACTGGAGAACATAAATCCTTCAAACGGATCACATTTTTTAACCCAGCAGTTTTATCTCTAGACTCTTGAACTTTATCATATCCATATGCAGTCGTAAAGTCTTACACCAATTTAATAAAGACACTTCCTTTTGATATAAAGCAGCGTCCCTGGAGACTTTTCCTCAGAAGCAACTGGGGGAGCTGTTGCCTTGGAGCTCTGGGTGGAACGGCCTGACACATCCCACGTCAAGCTCCTCTGCAGGCAAAGCTCTGGGTGCCTGGCTGCTTCTGCTCTGACCGTAACACTGGCTTGAGATGGGCCAGCACAGGGGCCTCACTCATGAATCCCAGTGTCCAAGCAGAGGAGCTAGGCCTTGGATGCAGAAACTGGTTTGGAGGGGTGGAGGGTTGAGCCCAACAGATAGGACAGTGCATCCCACGGCAGGGAACCTGCATTCCAACACTCAGCCCTGCCTCCAACTTCCTGTTAACTGGTCCATGGGATACAGCAGGGATGGCCCACACCACTGCAGTCCTGTCACCTACGAGCTTCAGGCTCCCAGCTCTGGCTAGGCCAAGCAACAGCTGTTTCGGCCACCTGGGAAATGAACCAGGGGAGTGCTCCCTCTTTACTGCTTCGCTCTCCATCTCTAGCTCTCAGTTTTTTAAATTTTTTAAATCTGCATTTTGCACTGGTCTGGAGTTTTGACTCTCTCTGTCCCCCAAGAAAAAGGTTTTGAAACATCAGCCAGATGATCTTGAGCCAGAGTTGATTCTTCCCCTGGTGTCACATCATTCCTGAAGAGTGACTGGTGTGGAAGGGGAGGATGCAGCGAGGCTCGGGTGAGTGTAATGTGCAGCTCGAAGCTGCTGCTGCCAGAACAGGCTCCCAGGGACGCTGCTAAGGTGGACTCGGAGCTGTGTTGCTCGCAGAGAGCGACAGTACTGCGGAGCTAGCCGGGTCTGCCATGGTCTCAGGTAACTGTCGCCTTTCTGGACTCCCTGCTCCAGACTCCTAAGCCAAGGCTGACGCGGGATGCACAGCCCAAACCCACACCAAACGAGGGGCTGTGGATTTGACTTCTCTCTCCCAAGGGCAACTACCGGCCCCTAAACAGCCCGAGACTCCCCCAAGTCTTGTCTCCTGTGAAGCGAGCAAAGCCTGGCCAGGACCAACCGTGGCACCGAGGAGGCTGCCCTGGTGCCTCCAGGCAGGGGTGAGGCCAGAGTGCATTCTAGGAAAGCTTGCCCCGAGCCCCGCCGGTAAAGTCCCCACCCCTGCCCCGCTTTAGAAGCTCAGCACACCCACCAATCATCTGCGCGATGGTCTTCTCATACTCGGCCACGATCTTCCTGGAAGAGAAGGATGGACACATGGGAACCAGGACGGACGTGGAGTCGCATGCAGGGGAGCTGTGAGCTGTGCCCCAACTGCTGACCCATGTGTGGCCCACATACAATGGAATAAGCATCATATGTCAAGGTCAACCCTCTCCTTGCACACCCCAACCAGGCAGCTCCGCGAGGACACATCATGCGTCTGCTCTGGGCTGTCTCAACTCCATGCTACTGTCCATTTTGCTCTCTCCCCCTCACATCCTACATTGACTCCTCCTCCGGGAAGCTTGCCCTGATCTCTTCTTGGAACTCCCTAACATTTTATCTGTGTCCTCTTGGTACAGCATCCACTTGGCCGCAGGAGACTGAGGTCCCCTAGCAGAATGGAAGCTCCCCGAGGCTTCCCCTGACCCATGTGTGTTTGTGGGGAGGAAGAGAGCCAGGAGCAGGTCAGACTAGGGTGTAACACAGCCCCTCCTTCAAAGCCAATCCTGGGGGTGGGGGGAGAATCTGAGAGTCTCCTTGTGTTATCCAGTCATCCCCATGGGGGACTCTGGAATGAATGACCGTCCAGGAACCCAGGATCCTGGTCAGAAAAGATCTCAGAGATCCTGGGGTGAGGGGCTAAACTGGGGGACCCAGGTAAGTTGTCCCCCGGAGCTGCGGGCTCCCCTTGCTGCCTGAGTGCCATGAGGTTCAGGCCTGTAGCACTGGGCAGGGACGCCAGGAGGCTGAGCGGACTGAGGTGGGCAGCAGGCAGCCTGCAAAACCCAAAGGCTGCATAGCCACCGGGGGTCAGTCCTTGGCCCTGTGACCTAAGTGTCAAGGTCACTGCCTCACCCCAGGACTGACTCACAGCAAGAAGGGAACCATGACCAGGGGTTCCCCACAAGCCCCACAGGGCCGCTGGCTGCTCAGGACACTCCAAAACCACAGAGCAGCAGTGGGTCCTTGAGCTCCTCCTGCACAGGCACGGAGGAGCTGGGGCAGCTCCTTCTAGAACTCTGGAGGACCGGGCCTAAAAGCATCTTCCTTAGCTGTGCCATGCTTCCACGTGGTCCTAACAAGGTCCTCCAAGTGGCAGCCCTGGGCCCATCTCCAGCATGACCGCAGGGACACAGGGGGCATGAAGTGTAGTTGAGTAACTTCCCCAGGCTCCTGGACCTTGAGGTGGTAAAACTGGGATGGGAATACAGGGAGCAGAGGTGAGGGTGTCGTTGCCCCGAGGGCTGCTCTGTGCCCATTTCCCAGATGGGGACACAGTGCAGGTGCTCCACTGACCTCATCTCCATCACTTCCCGCCTGCTTTCTTCGTACTTGTCTTTCCACTCCGAGACCTCTCGCTCCTTGGTTATGATCTGGGAATGCGGGGGTGGGGGGGGAGAAGAGAGAGGTCAGCTCCAGATGGGGAAAGTCACATCTCGGCAAGCCGCTTACCGAGATGAGGAGACGTGGAACAAAGGTGCACCTCAAACTTCCCAGGGCAAACCACAGTTACATCCAGGGAGCTTCCCCCAGCCTGTCAGAGAAGGGGCCAGCTCCCAAGGCCCCAGGAGGGCGTCTGAAGGGAGCACAGTTTTCCTTTTAAACAGAATGAGGTTGCGAAAGCCGTTAAACCACGGGATGCAGGAAGATTGGTCTGGTTTGCCTCCGACTTCGCCAGTGGGGTCCGGAGCAGAGTCCGTCTCCGAGAACCTGGCTCTGTGATGGAGGTGGGGGCTGGTGCACCTGTAGGAGCCGGGCCACACCCAGGCCACACTACCTCTGCTCTGGCCATCTGCAGCGCCGCGTCCAGGTCTGGCTGCCGGAACAGAAGGGCTGCAGGCTTCTCCACGTCGGAGGTGCCCATGCGGGAGTACAAGGCTGCCTTGGAGATGGAGACTTCAGTGGGGTGGGCAGCTTCTCTCTGCAGACGGTTTTCAATTACAAGGAGAAATGGTTCATGTTAACCACGTGACAAGAGGACTGCACTCCTTCTCTCACGAATGGCCCATATAGCTTCAAAACAAAAGCACCCACAGTGTAGCACAGAATAAAGGTGAATGAACAGGGAATGTGGGGGAATATAAGGCTCTGCATCTGTGCAGGACGAAGGGGATCCTGGGAAGCTTGGAGCCACTGGAGCTGGGGGTACCTGGGACCTGCTTATCACGGCCATTTATCAGACACCGAGTCACTTAGGCATGGGGTACAGGAACCAAGGTCATTATCCAGCCAGCTCCATTTGCAAAGCAAAATCCCGATGATGAATGACACTGAATTCTGGTCTCCAGGCCCCCTGGTTTCAGATAACCACAGATCTGATCAGGAACTCGGTGGTGGCTGGTGGGCTGCCGGGAAGGGAGGGTGTATGCTTTCAGTTCTGATGTGATTCGGGCAGTGCTTAGGGACCAACACAGCTGCCAATCAACTGACTCCCACAAGCAACTGCGTGTAAAAGTCAGGTCACCACTCACCATCTGGGGTGCAAAATCAACGGGGACACTGAGAATTGGGTCAGTGACAGGATCTGCATTTACTGATCGGCCCCTCCACTGTCAAGGTGCCCCACTCCCACCCACCCAAGCAGCACACGTCTGCCAATTCCTGGGATTCCTTCCACAGGGGACAAAGACACAGCCCCCAAGAGGTGGGAGGGGTCTGGCTTTCTTCCTTCCTTCCCACCAAAGGCTCAGCCATTGGCCTCGCAGTTGGAAAGGGTTGTTAGCATCAATGGCAACCAGCACAGCAGGCTTGTCAGCTACTTCTACTGCACAAGAACCATCAAAGAACCCACTCTCAGTCCTATTCATTAACTCATGGTGCTACCGGGGCTGCCAAGGAGGCCTTCACTTCAGTCCCGGCTGGTCTGATGTGAGTCAAGCGTGGCCTAACTGGCTCCTCGCTTGGGGAGTGACAAGAATTAGCCGAGCAGCAGACAGCGTTGCAGAAAGATGTGGGGGGAGGGGAATGAGCGCTTGCAAGAGGGCGACAGCTCAGAAGACCCAGGGGCAGGTTTAATGGATAGGACTGAAGAGGACAGAGTTAGGCCCAATTAGTGGATCACATGCAAGGTGAGCTGAATGGTTAGGTCACCCTGGGAGAGGACACCCTTTGCTTGCATTCCACTGCCCCTGCCTGGCCTCGAGTGCCTGGGCCTGGCTCACCCTTCGGTGGCACCCAAGTGACCCAGTCGCCACCAGATTCGAGACTTGCACATGTGCCAGCTGGGAACCTGCAGGCAGCCTCCAATTTCAGGACATGAGATGGGCTGACCTCCCGGAAGGAAGTGCCACCACCTTCCCACAGGGAAGCCTGAGAAATCCACCACAGGTTCCTCTCTGGTTTACAAAGGAAGTAGCTGTGAAACTATACCTACAGATTGATTCCAAATCAGGGGCCACTCCTATGGCACAGAGCATTCAGCGGCTGCCTGGAGCTCGGGCATCTTGTATGGGCACTGGTTCAAGTCCCTGCTGCTCCACTGCCAGCCCAGCTCACAAAGCTGTGAAAGATGGCCCAAGTACCCCACACCCATATGGGAGACCTGGAGAGGCTCCAGCTTTGGCCTGGCCTTGTCCCAGCTCTTGTGGCCATTTGGGGACCTGGCCCAGTCCCAGCTGTTGTGGCCATCTGGGGAGCGAAGTAGCAGATGGAAGATCTTTGTAACTGACTTTCAAATAAAACAATTTCTTTTTAAGACTCCCATTCTATATTGAAGGAGTAAATTCACAAAATCCTGAAGACGATGTAAAAGGGGGAAAAAAATCTGTTCCTATTATTTCTAAAGTAAAAGAACACATTCTTTAAAAAAAAAAATAGAAAATCTACAAAACGGAGGGGCCATCACACTGCATCAGACTGCCCTCGTGCTTGTAAAGGTGACTGAGTGAGGCTCTGAGAGATCTGGGCCCAAGTTCTCCCACAGCGAAGGTCAGCTTGGAGCCAAATCAAATAGCTTCCTGGAAGCACAAAAGAAAATGAATTTAACTAAGTGCACTTTATTGCCCTGGGCAGAAACGAAGCAGGACCAACGGAGCACTGTACTGTCTCAAGCAGCTGGGATGCCAGACAATGCCCATGGGCAACGCCAGCTGCCACCATCACAGAGGGACACCCACGTCCCATGCGACTGCTGGAGTAGCTACCCGCTAATGACCTTCACTGCACATACCCGGTGCTCGCGTACAACCAAGAATTGTTTTCAACTGAGATTAATGGGTTTGTCTCTCACGGGTATTTTAAGATCAGTTATTTTTAGGGTAAGCTTTGTTTCTCCCCCATCACGCCCCACTTGCTACTTTGGAGGGGCGGGAAGAGCTGGGAGAATCACAAGCTTGAAAGTGAATGGCCATGTGGCAAGAGGGCTGGGCCCATGGTTAGCCACATCAATCTTCCTTAGGTCCTGGGAGAGTCCTTGGGGTGCTGTCACCCCCTTCAGGTCATTTCAGCCCATAGCTCATGTGGGTCCTGAGGCCAGCCCTCAGGCCTCCTTGTGCCAGTTCCCCATAGCCAGGCCTCAGGCCTCCTTGGGCCAGTTCCCCATAGCCAGGCCTCGGGCCTCCTTGTGCCAGTTCCCTATAGCCAGGCCTTGGGCCTGGCATGAGGCAGGGAGCACTCAGGGTCAAGGACCCACAGGCAACCCTGGCCAGTCATGCCAGTGTACTGGGCTGCCCCATAGCATGGACCTGGGCTGGGCAGGGGTCACCTCATCCACACACAGGGCAGGTGGCTCTCTCAGGCTCAGGGGGCACATTCAGGGCAGGTGTGGGCATCATACCCTCATCACAGTCATGAGAAGGCAATACCAGTCTCCAGACAGCCACACCTCTTGTGAAATCAAGATCCAGCCTCCCATGGCTCTCAGCCCAGGCTTGGGGCAATGACCATGAATCTTTCCATGAGGTTAATGAATTGATGGCCAATCACAGTCTCTTTGGGTAGGGCTGGCGCATTGCTGCATCTCCCTACCCCCAAATTCCTGTAAAGTGGGCAATGAGGACAGTTCTCTGTGGATTCAGAGTGACAGAAGTGAACAGCATGTGGCCCTGGGTGCTGGCTGGCAGCACGGGCTGCCCCAGATCTGATTCCTCTTGGTGCAAGGCAGGCACCTGCCTCCCACATGGCTCCTCCCACCACATGTTGGCAGTCTACTCCCAACCCAAAGCTGGTGCTTCCTATGATCTTGCTTCCCATTGACTCAGATTCACCCTAAGGCTTCACACAGCTCCCCTGATCCAGAAGGCCAGAGGCATGGGGATCCCAACAGATTCGTGCATTCTGCTCCACGCACCAATCCCATCAATCCCTCATGCCTCCTGTTCCTGTGGAAAGTCATACAAATGGGAAGGTCAAGCTGAAGTTCCAGCTGAGCCAATTGAGTGTTAAATTGGGGCCGCTATGCTGCGTGCCCGCCAACCTGCATTCAGCCTCATTCCAGGACACAGCTGGCTTTGATTTGGCCAGCTCAAACAGAAGGGAAGCAACAACAAGGCTGCTGCCCAACACTCCAGCCCTGGGAACTTCTCGGTTTCCACATCTTTCCCTGCTGGAGTTCCTGGAAGCTGCCCCAAGAACCCCTAGAAAATCAGCTGCGGCCACCTTTCAGGCTGGGATAGGTTAAATTCCTCGGTAGGAATAGGTTTCATTCCAAGTGACTGCACTTTGTGTGAGCAGGACAGCTTAAGACAGGGCTGTCAGCAAAACCAGGCTAAGTTACCTGTGGCTTAAGCAAACATGCAGAAAAGGGAGCGGGTTGGATACACAGCGGCTGCTGTCTGTCTCCACACATTGGCAGTTTCCAACATAGCGAGGTGCACTCAAGCATCTGTGTGAGAAAGAGGCACCCGGGACATGCCTGGGCTGGGGCTGACGACTGGCTCTGGGAAAGTGTGTCTATTTGCCCTGGACCAAAGGCACCAGGGGATCTGCCATAAAAGCAATACATTCCCACGGTATAAATAAATAAATAAATAAATAAATAAATAAATAAATAAATAAAATTCCTTCCAAGCCAAGATATCTGTGTCCCAAAGGGCTATTTTCTTCAGCGTGAACTTCTGAAACTCAGCAGGCAGAAGCTGGGGCTGCTCCCTGGCCTACACGTGACAGTATTTTTAAAAACAAATCCATACACATGGGCTGGGAACAGGGTGTAACCAACAGAGTCAGCTCCTGGTTGGTATTGGTGCCAGCTGCCTCGGGCACCTTCTCCCAGGAAGCAGACAGGAGCCAGCCTCAATATGCTCAATCCAGCCTCCGACCTCTCCTGAACCAGAACCAGGGGAGCAAGCAAGGAATCCAGTGGAGCAATGAGCCTCACTGCTCAGGGCTTCCTAAAAACCCTGCTTTGATGGGGATCCAACCCATGCTTGGGGCTTGGTGATAGAATAAGGAAGCCACGGAGTGTGTGCATCCTAGTTCCTGCCACACACACAGGCATGACCCTTCTGTCTCTGAAGGGCCCCTCCATTGAGGTGACAGCCTCGGAGGTGACATGAGCTGGGACCCTCAGTGTAACAGAAGTAGCCAGAGCTTCCCCTCTTGTAGCAACGACAAGTGACAGGGAAATCCCATCCCCTCAGCGAGACAAATAGTCCAGGGCCTCCTGTGGCCACCTGAGTCCTGGAGCCCTCCCTCTCCTTCACTTCCAAGCTGGTACACGGCAGTGTGTACCTCATTTTTCCCATCTGTGAAATGGGACTTGGTGTTGCCACCAGGAGAGAGATGCTGTGTCTGTTTGGATAACAGCAGTGGACAATGGCCCAAGTACTAGGGCCCCTGCCACCCAGGCCAGAGACCCAGATGGGGTCCCAGGCTCCCGACTTCAGCCTGAATCAAGTGCAACCCTGGATGTTGCAGTCATACGGGGAACAGATGAGTGGAGAGAAGGTCTCTGTCACTCTTCTCCATCTAACCATTGCAGGGGTCCCCTTACTCTTGAGTTCAGAGGACTTGAGTTCTGAGGACCTGTCCTTCTAGGAGAGTCACACCCTCAGCTTTCGGACAATTACACCCATGGGACAGCGACTGTGGCGGCTGGACCACTGGTTAGCAAAGCAGTTCTGGGCGTGCGTCAGCGGTGGCACACACGGCATTCCGGGAGCACAGCACTGCGGCAGCAAACCCGTACCTTGGTGTCCTGGCGGCTCCTGGAAGCCAGGGCAATCTGCCTGGCCAGCTTCAGGGCTTCTATCCGCATGATGGCAAACTCTAACTCCTCCTGCCCGGTGGGTGGGGGTGAGGAAACCGCAGGGAGATGCGTGACCATGCGTGCAAATGGCTCACGCACCAGGACTGAATGTGTCACAGACAGATGTGGCGACAGCTATGAGCGACGATGGGTGAGCGCCCTGACTTCTTTTATAGTGACAGCCTCAGCAGACCAGAAAGTCATCTGTGTCTAAATCCCCCTGGGGGTATCTGTCAGGGAGGACTGGGCAGCTGGCTGAAGTGGTTCTCATAATGGGATCAGGGCTGGCCCTGTGGTGCAGGAGGTTAAGCTGCCTCCTGTGACCCCAGCATCCCAACAGGGAGCTGGCTGGAGTCTCGGCTGCTCCACTTCCAGTCCAGCTCCCTGCTGATGCACTGGAAGCACTGGAAGGATTCAGGCCCCTGAACCTACGTGAAAAACTCAGAAGAGGCTCCTGGCTTTGGTCTGGGCCAGTCTTGGTCATTGTGGCCATCTGGGGAATAAACTAGAGGATGGAAAATCCTTCTCTTTGTGTCTCCTCTCTTTGTATAACTCGGCATTTCAAAGAAATACATCTTAACAAGGAGTGGGGATAAAAATGTCGAGTTTCCTTGGTCCTCTGGCTTCTTCCTTTGTTTTTTTTAAAATATTTACTTATTTTTATTGGAAAGTCAGATTTACAGAGAGAAGGAAATACAGAAAGATCTTCTATCCACTGATTCACTCCTCAAATGGTCACAACGGCTGGAGCTAAGCTGATCCAAAGTCAGGAACCAAGCAGGGTCCCAAGACTTTGGCCCATCCGCCATTGCTTTCCTCGACCACAAGCAGGGAGCTGGACTGGAAGTGGAGTAGCCTGGCACGATGGCCTGGTGGCTGGATCCTCACCTTGTACCTGCTGGGATTCCACATGGGCACCGGTTCACGTCCTGGCTGCTCTACTTCCTATCCAGCTCCCTGTTTGTGGCCCAGAAAAGCACTGCAGGACAGCCCAAGGCTTTGGGACCCTGTACCTGCGTGGGAGATGGGAGGAAACTCCTGGCTCTCGGCTCTGGATTGGTTCACTTCCGGCCATTGCGGCTGCCTAGGGAGTAGACCAGCAGATGGAGAATCCTTTGCTCTGTATCTCCTTCTCTCTGTGTATCTTGCTTTCAATAAAAATGAAAAAATCATGGGGGGAGGGAGAAGAAGTGGAGCAGCCAGGACACAAACCAGTATTCCTAAGGTCAAATTGGGTAATGATTTGTAAGCACAGACTTGTGATCCGTTGGGGGTGTGGGGAACAGAGCTGCTAAGGTCCCTGTAGATTTGATCATTTTGAGCTGTCAAACCTATAGCATGGGCTAGCTCAGTGGGTCAGTGCTTGGGACCAGCTACAGCCCAATCAGGACATCAGCGCAGAAGGGGTCTGACACGGCCTGGCTTGCACACACTGGTGGGCTCGTGACCCAGCACCCTTGCTTCAAGGAGTAAAACCATGGACGTGACCTGTCAGGCTCTCAATACAACTGATACATGACTACTTCAGTTCCAAGTTCAAATAACCTGGTGCGGTTGGCACATCGTGACACAGACAGAGGGCACCACACGAGTCATCTGGGTGGTTGGGGAGAGTCCACTGCGGCACCGGCAGCAGCTTCTTACAAAGCCTGCCTTTCTACTGGACACTGGGGCCTCACGTTCCACTGAGGTGTCTTCAGATTCCCCAGAGGTCCCGCAGGGGCTACGAACCTGTAACTTCTGAGCAAATACTGGGGGGTTCTTTTCTGCTAAGTCGGGCTCCAGACAGTCCAGCGCACCGCAGAGAGAGGTGGGGCGAGCCAGCCTGCTGAGCAGGGCGTCAGCAGAAGCAAAGGCACCATCAGGAGCTGACTGCAGACAGCAGAGAGCAGACACAGGAGACAGAGAGAGAGAGAGAGAGAGAGAGAGAGGGGAGGGTGACACCACTTTCAAGCGCAGCCCACACATCCCTGCACTGGCCATGAGGCTGGCAGGCCTGACCCCCTCCCAGACAGCACAGCCGGAGGGGCCTTCCCCACCCCCATGCCACCTCGGTGCCTAAACAGGGAGCAGCAACAAGTTAGCATCTGCTTGGTGTGAGGGAGGCAAGCTAGTTGAGGAGTCCTCCACAAATACCCAAACCCATCAGGAAAATGACTCCACGCATAAACATTACAGCCAGGAATGTTCTGGGTAAGGTTGTTCTCTGAATAACAAAACCATGATTTCAAATAAGGCAAAAGTTAAGCAGAAAGACTGTAAAATCAGAGTTCATTTATGCAATCTACAAGGGGGGACTCATTCCCAATATGAGTCTGAGCTACAATTAGGCCCGCCACTCTTATTTTTCCAGTACCCAACCCTTGATGCATGACAAAAAGTTTTCCCAATACAGAAGAACAAAGTAACACAGAAAGCAAAGGGCAGAGCTCACTAGGAGTGAGGTACAAGAAATAAAAATAAACCCCACCTGGAGGTGTTTGCATGAGGAAGACCTTTGCAAGCACAACACACGCTTCGGGGAGAGAGACGCCAGGCCCACAGTGGGCCTGGGGCGGGGCAGTTTCAGCTCAGGGTCTATTGTTCCGCAAGGCCCTGGCAAGAGCTGGGAGGTGAAAGTGTGGAGACCCATGAAAACCATCTAGTCCCCAGAAGGAGGGAGTCCGGCCTCTGGCACACAGCAGCTCCAGAGCAACCAGCCCAAACATAGGAAAATCGGCGTGCTTGGAGGCAAATCAATGTCTTGGAGTGAGACCTGCAGGACACGCTGAGGACAATGGACAGCCTTGGGCTCTGCATGGTGCTGTGGGGATGTGGTGGGGGGTCCTTGCAGGTAGCCAGAACAGAGTGCTGTGGCAGGAGCTGGGGAGGAGTGCTCTAAAGACCTGGCCCCTTGGTGATGTAGCCCAGCAGGCCAGCAGGCCTGGGACTTCATTCCAGAAACCTCAGGTTCCTCCAACTCTACTTACAATTTCCACTGCCTCTGAGGGGGTGCCCAAGGCCATGGTCTCCAGCTCTTTCTGTGAAGGTTTCTCAGGCACCTGCATGGGCGGCTCCTGGCTAGGGACCAGCCCACGGGGGACAGGATGCTGCATCTTTGCTGTGGTGTTCACAAGGGCGTCAGTCTCCTCAAAACTTGACCTGAGGAACAAAGGGCATCTTAAGTCTTCCCATTGAAAACCCTGCTGACATCAACCAGGCCGCCCTGATGGGTCAACATTCCAAGAGGTGTTGGACTTCCGGGGCATTGTTCCCAGAGCCAGGTCTTTAGCAAGCATAAGTCTTCCAGGCAGGGCTGTGACCAGGTGACACAGCTCAGCACCAGGGCAGAGCCTGGATGCCAGGGGCTGGGGTACAAACACTGTCATTTAGCAGGGACAGGCTTGGTCATGTGCCCTTGGGGAAGTGATGAGCACCAGTTTCCAGTTCCCTTTTCTGGAAGAGGGAGATTCACGCCATGCACTGACACGGCATCTAGCAGGGCTGTACCACTGCCATAACAGCATCACCATCTCCCTGGGTGGGTTCTGGTCTGCTGGTAAACTTGAGAAGATGAAGCAAGAGTTTTCACAGCGGCTCAATGAGAGATGGGAAGCATGAATGGGAGGCTCCCCAGGCCATAGTGCAAAGGCCCAATGAAACGTCACATTACTCAGAACATACAAGCTACCATTCCAACCATGTGCCACGCACTGGGGCCAGACTCATGTACTCAGGGCTTCTCTGTGGAAGTCAGCTGCCCCATTGCCATGGTAAAGCTGGGAACGCTCTAGAAGACCAGTAGCCTCTTGGAGTGTCCCAAAGCACCCCCCTCCTTGAGGTTGGTTTTATCCCTAACACTCAGGGAAACCAGGGCTCAGCAGGGTCAAGGAATTCACACAAGGTCATGCAGCCAGGGAGGGGTGGAGGCAGGGCTCTGAACACCACACCCAGGGACAAACACAGAATAAAGTTGTGTGTGCACAGGTGGACAAGGGGGTTCCCATGCAGTCAGCTCCTAGAGGATTTCGCCCCACTCCAGGGGGCCTCGGGGACAAAGCCACGGCATTTTTGCCCCTGTGGACACTCAGAGAATCTTGGCCAATGGAAGGAAGTCCCCACAACTGTGCACAGGGGTTCCTGGGGCCTGTTCCAAGCTCTCATCATGAGGTCATACCCTGAACATGGCGTCGGGGAGTCAGACATTCGGGCAGGAGGCGACTTGACGGGGCTCTCCTGAGAAGCGTCAAACATGAGGTACAAGGCCTGCTTCTTCGGGGCGTCATCGTCCTGCTGGAGAGTTCAAAGTCACAGATCAGCCTGGCACGGCTGGCCCAGACACACTCACAGGATGCACACACCAGGACAGGCACTGGCCAGAAAGAAGCAAAGAGGACATCCTTCCCTTAAAGCCAGCAGGGGCAGAGTGGCTAGGAGAGGAGAGTGGGGCAGAGGGGCAGAAGGTGCAAGCTGCTTCGAGGGGAAATGCATGTGGGGACAAAGGTTCCTGGGCTGGGGCCCTGCACTCCGTTCAGTTCACCCATGTATCCTGGGCTAGGACCATGCCCACTAGTGAGGCAAAGCAGGGGTCAGGGGGGTGGTAGGCAAGCCCTCAGGGTGCAGTTTCCTGCAGCTGAACAGGGAGCCCAACATGACAATACAATGTGATAAGCATCACCCCTGTGCCACTCAGCAGAGAGCCAAGGGTTGAGCCTGAAGGGAAGGGCAGAGGCTCATGATGGGGAGCAGCTTGGCTGCAGCAGGGCTGAGGGTGAGCAATGTGAGCTGGAGGGTAGGAAAGGACTGGCCAGGGAGGCGGGGTCCCGACCCGCAGACCTGGGAATGCCGAGTCCAAGAAGTTGGCCTGACATTCACTAGAGGAAGAGATCTGGGAAGGGTGGCAGACACCTTATTCCCACCCTGATAGGGTCCCCAAAGAGGCACAATGCCTTGTACCAACACACAGGATTCCAGGTGGGTCTGTGATTCCTGGTAGGCGCACTCCAGGAGCAGGCGGAGCCCAGGAAGGGGCCCCCAGGGCTTCATCTGTTGAAACCAACGACCTCCCAACCCACGCACGTGCCACATCCGCTGTCACGTCCCACCCTCAGCACAGGTGAATGAATATCCCTTCCCGATGTGCTTGGGATCAGCAAGGTTTGGGCCCTTTGGGTTTAGAATAGGAGATACTACGAGGGTGTGATTCAAGTCTAAACAAAAAAACGCACTCCTGGTTCACATACACCTTATACACACAGCCAGAAAGTAACTTCATATGCTGTTTTCGTCCTGTGACCCAACACAGGAAGTCAGTCTAGAATTCTGCATCCATGGTGTTGGTGTCAAGTGTGAAGCTTACAGAGTTTTGGATTTCAGACTCTGAACTCTCTGATGTGTATGACCCCTTCTGTTGAGGGCACAGCTGTGACCTCACAGGTCAACATTCACTGAGAAACACAAAGGCAAACACTGGCTTGGGAGTCTCAAAACACTGACTTGGCATTTGTGGCCAGTCTAGGTATGGATGCACTGCCCCACCTAACTTCCTAACAGCAAGCTGCAGAAACATCTAGAAGCATCTACAAGGGGTGCAAAGAAAGATAAATAGAAATGCAGTGCACATCCAGCCATTATGGCTTTCTTGTTGACTTCCAGTCCCCGAGGCCATCACTGGACAAGGGCACATCAGGAGGTCAGGCAAGGAACATGACACCCTGGGACAGCAGACCCTAAGTAAGGAATGACAGCTGCCTACCCATCAAGGTTCCCTGAAAAGAAGGCTACTGCCCTGCGACATCTGTAACTTAAGATGGTCAACCTGGAGAAACCAGCTAATTGTACACCTAAAAGCGACAAACCTTCTCTCTTACCAAAGCATCTCTGACCACTTTCTCAGAGCAGGAAAGTAATCCCACGGGAAGCCTACTCTTACCATGGGATTTCCTACTGGGCAAACACCTAAACCTTGCCGCTCCACCCCAATTCCCCGGCACAACGCGCCCAGGAGGCTCTGTCCAGTGGACAAGGCAGGGAGAACTTACAGGTAAGGAGGAGCCGATCTTTTCCATATATTCAATTTCATAGGAGTTTCTGTAATCCAACTCTGCAAAAACAAACGAAAAGCGAAGTCAGTGCCGGAGACGAAGGCGTAAATACTTGGACTGGCCAAGGAGCAGTGCAGAGCAGCTGCTACTGCCAGCCCAGAAGGTGTAACTCAACTGTGTTTTCACGGCCAGCAGGTGCTTCTGCCACTGGACAGTGAGAGACTCAAAGACACTGAACCATGGTGAGGAACAGCCCTGGACGGATCTGAGTTCGTGTGCAAAGTCGCAACATCTGAGCATGTGTATTAACATTCACATCGATGACACCCCCTGGGACATGCTGGCCCTGCATCCACACTTGCCCTGGTTAATTCCGCTTCAGCCCTGATCAGAAGCAAGCAAGAGCAGACACTTGTTCCCCTAGAGTTGCTCATCAGGAAAGCTTCCAAGTCACCTGGAATGCTCCCCAAGTTCTACCGACATCTGCAAGGTGGGTCTAAGGCACATTTGCCAAACGCAAAGACTATTAACAGTCCAAGAAAGTGTAGAGGTGAAGTGTCAAATTGACAGGTGACTTCAAGCTGCAAAGAAAATTCCAGATACTCAGAGCCCCACTGCCGGGCTCAGGCACCTGGGTGGCTCCCTATAGAAACTCCACCCAGCTGCTCAACCAAACTGCCCATCTAGCAGACGGAACACCCACTACATGCCTCAGGCCGCACCAGGCACAGCAGGTGAATCTTATCTACTTAAAAAGAAAACGAAAATGTGCTCAGGAAAGAGCTACGCCTAAGCACCCACAGTAAGCCCTAGGCTTGAGGGCTTCATGCTTTTTTTAGGAGAAAATAAATACAAACAACAGTCCTGCATCAGCATCCCCTTACTGCTGTATATGTCAGAGGCGTCGCTGAAAAACAAGCCACATGAACTTGAAAGTGACACATGTTTTTGAAGACTTGGCTGCTTCAGCATGTGGTGCTTGGGCCCACATACAACTTCTCGGGCTGCTCCATATCTCCTCGGATGAGAGGCTGGAAAGACTTCCTGCCCCTGCCCCCTGCATGCCTTGGCTGCCAGAGGCCGGAGGCACAGGCCGAGGCTCAGGGTGCGGTCAGAATCAGGCCCGCACCTGCTCCTGCGGTGAGATTCGGGAGCCTTTGCTGACAAAGATGAACATGTTCCTCACCTGAGAAGCGAGCAGCAGGTGGCGGGTGGGGACAGGACGGGTAGAGGCGCTCTAGGCCTTTCCCAGATCTACCACATCCTGGTCAGTGCTGCTCGGCTAGCAGGTGCAGGACCCATCCCATCACTCCAGGTGGCCTGAGAGGACTGCCAGAAGACCCCAGTACAGTTCCCAGCAATGAGACTGTGCCAAACAAGCTACGGTCTGCGCAGGCTTCTCCAGAGCCCTGTGGCCAGGAGAGGGTCACCTTGGTCACCTGGTAGCCTGGGGCAGCTCCCACCTGGCAGCCCGGGGCAGCTCCCACCTGGCAGCCCAGGGCAGCTCTGACCTGGCAGCCTGGGGCAGCTCCCACCTGGCAGCCCGGGGCAGCTCCGACCTGGCAGCCTGGGGCAGCTCCCACCTGGCAGCCCGGGGCAGCTCCGACCTGGCAGCCTGGGGCAGCTCCCAGCTGGGAGCCCGAGGCAGCTCCTGGCAGCTCTCTGGGTGGGTCTGACACTAAGCTCACGCACCAGCCTTCTTTGCCACCTGCCAGGAGTCTTGGTTTCCATTGCCCTGCGTCTTTGGTCCCTTCCATCACAGGCTGCACCTGGCTGTACCCAAGTGGGATGCTCTGTCCCTGAGAAACATCTGTATCTGCAGCATGCCTGGTTCTAGGGGACCTGCATCCTGCACAGGTCCCAGGTGCATGGCACACACCTGCAGATGCTCCGACTGAACCCGGTCTCCATGGTTACTCATGGATAACCCACCACGTGGCTGGGCAGGGTGCAAGAGGAACGAAGCCTGTTCCTGCCCGCTTGGGGGATTCCCCACATGCTGAGGAAACACGCTCTGATACTGCTGCTCATATCCCCACTCATCTGAGCCTCACAGGGAAGGCGGGCATGGGGAACACAGCCTGTCCTGTGTTAGCTCCATTTACACTAGGCTACATGCTGCCAGCAGGCCAAGAATGGCAATGCCAGAGGCATGTGCTGGCACACCATCCTCACAACCTAGAGGAGGGCTGTCCATGAAAGCCTTCAGCTGCTCCTGGGCCTGGTGGCATGGCCTAGCGGCTAAAGTCCTCGCCTTGAACGTGCCAGGATCCCATATGGGCGCCGGTTCTAATCCTGGCAGCTCCACTTCTCATCCAGCTCCCTGCCTGTGGCCTGGGAAAGCAGTCGAGGACAGCCCAAAGCCTTGGGGCCCTGCACCTGTGTGGGAGACCTGGAAGAAGTTCCTGGCTCCTGGCTTCGGATCGGCATAGCACCAGCTGTTGCACTCACTTGGGGAGTGAATCATTGGACAAAAGATCTTTCCATCTCCTCTCTGTATGTCTCACTTTCCAATAAAAAATAAAATAAATCTTAAAAAAAAATGAAAAGAAAAGAAAAGAAAGCCTTCAGCTGCCAGGGTTACTTGTCACGGATGCCAAAGCCACTTCCAAGGGCTACTGTTGGTAACGATTTCCTAGCAGACCTAGCACAGTGCAAGGCTTGGCAGCTGTCTGGATTTGACTCCAACTGCCAGAGCTCTGCTTAGGATCCAGAAAGAGCCCCATGCTGAGGGCAGAAGGGCACAGTGAATGGCAGACCTCCACGGCCAGGATTAGAGAGGCCAAGTCACTCAACTTCTCTCTGCCTACTGATTTGTCTGGCAATTGGACTCTAACTGCCCATATCTTGCAGGATGAAATGGAACACAGTGAAACAAAAGTGCTGGGGCTGGAGTGGTGGTGCCTGCAGCGCTGGCATCCTATACTGGTGCTGTTTCAAGTCCTGATTCCTCTACTTCCTGCTGCGTCTTGCTAATGCTCCTGGAAAACCAGTGGGAGATGACCTAGGTGAGAAGCAGAGCTAAGTTCAAAGCGCCTCTCGCCATCTGTGTGGGCCCATACTCACTGGGAAGTCCTCTCAGCCTTGAGCTGCTTACCCTCTGTAGGCGAACTGAATTTGGTCTCATTGACAAAGGTGGACAGGTCGGAGGGCTGCGGGTAGTCCTGTTTGTCGGCCTCCAGGTCCACCGTCATGCATGTCCACTTCTGGCTGGTAACCGCCAACTTTTCTTCATCTGTCGCATGGACCACAGCGGAGATGACTGGTGGGGCCTCCGGGGTCGCGGCCGGCGTGGGGTCCTATGAGGGCAAAGAAAGCAGTGTCTTTCCTTGGGGGTTCTCTCTCTTGGAAACTGTACCCACCTTGGGGTCTGGGGCACCCTGAATCAGAGCAGGTCCCTGCCAACAGCCGTGGCGGGTGCTTCTTGGACCCTGCTCTCAGGGGTCCCTTCACAAAGCACGTGCTGTCCCCGCTTCATCTCCTCTGTGGGTGGCTTGTTTGGGGGAGTGCCCATGGGATCCCACAACCAAATAAGCAAACTCAGGATTCTGAGCTTTGGTTGAAACATTCCTGCTAGCTCTTCCACAACTGCGATGTCATGCTGACAAGGTGCCACAGGGGGACAGGCTTCTGAACTCAGTGTTACCTGGCAGTCTTTCTGCTAGACCCTGGAGGCCATGTCTGCAGGACAGTGTGCCACGCAGCAAGGCAGGTGGCACTGAGCTGGGACGGGGACTGAAGCTCTGGGGTCTGCAGCTGAGGCTTCACTGGCTATCTGGAGGAGAGGGCTGCATGTTTTACAGCCTAGGAGCAGCCCCCCAACAGTGCAGGGAACAGGCTTGGGGGTAACCATCCTGTCCCCCAACAGTTTGGCAATCAGGGTTGGGGATAGCTGTCCTTTGCCTGTAAGCAGGGTGCAGGACATGGCCTACACGAGGGGCCTTCAAACAGTTCGTGGAAGACACACATGAAGAGAAAACTATGCCTGAGTTTCAAAATTGTTCATACTCTTCCATTCAGCTCTCTCCCCCTGTACCCCTTCCTTTTTAAAAACTCTGTATTAATTTATCTCAGAAGACTGGCTTCAGGGGAAAGTCAGGGGAGTTCTCAGCAGATTCACAATCTGACGGCCAAGGGTGGTTTTCCCTGGCCTCCTTCCGACTTTCCCCAAAGTGAAGCAACCCAATGTTCTGTCTGAACGCCCCTGTATGGGAGGCAGGATGTCGGAGGGGACCCGGAAACGTGAGCCAGAGGAGCAGACGGGAATGGATGGGGGTACAGAGCAGGCGGACTCCCCAACCCACCAAGATCAAAGCAACACTGTACCTGAGAAGGTGGGTCAGAGAGAGGAGACCGTTTGGGCGACTTTTTCACCCTAAATGTGTCACTGGAAACAAAATGGAGAATGTAAACACAGTGAACGGAAGCTCAGAATCCCCAGAACAACACGGTGCAGGCTGGGCCCCCGCCTCTGCTGAGCCATCTGGCCGCACTGCCCTCCTGCCTCACCCCTCCAACCCTAGCTGCCCAGCTGAAGCCAACACCGATTCATTGATTTTTTTTCACAGATATTATTTTTGCCCTCAAGGGGGGAAAAAATCCATTAAGCTGGAAATTTCAAAGAGATGCCATTTTGGAGAGCTGACCCAGAAAATGATGCTAAATTTAACTAAACTTTCTTACTTTATAGAGCAAATTTTTGGGGAGCAGATTAATTTATTCTGATTCTTCCAGAAATGTCTCAGCCAATTCAAAATGGGGGAGGGACATCAACGAATAGGACCCAGTCTTTAGGGAGACAGTGCAGAATCCTGCCCGCTCACGGGGACTTGGAGCTTCTGGGGTTCCTACACTCTGGAACCTTCCAGATGGGTTTTTGCCAGAAGGCAGGGCTGCACTGGCAGCTTTGTTCCCTTCATACCTAACTGGAGGTGATGGGGGAGCCCCCAGGCCAAGGAAACATCAGCTCAGGTTCCCAAACAAGGGGCGGCCTGTGGCAACAATGCTCCCAGGTATCCACTGGATGCACGGGGAGTTGCTACCACAGTCAAAATGCTGGCCATGTCACCCCAGAAGACTGGCCCCAGTCCCTGGTCTCTCACTGCTCCACGATCTGGTGCCACTGCCAGCAGAGATGGGGCTTTGCTCACCTCACACATGCGTATCCCCTCCTGCTTTCCACACTCACTGGCTGAACAGAACAATTTAACACTCAAGTTCCTTCCCTGTTCTCTCCAAGGAAACGCTCCAACAATGGCATTCAATCACGAGCAAAGTGTTGCAACTGGCTCTTTTACAGCATTTATGTTGCTTGCCATAAACACAAGGCAATCACAACTTGAAGCATATATTTATTCATGCATATAAATATAGAAGTGGATTTTGTAGGCGCTAAGTGGCTTGAAAATCCTTAAGAAATCTCTTGGAAAGAAGACAGTCACAGGGACTCTGCCCAGTCTTGGGACCACCAGACGCCCAGGACCAGGGAAAAGCAGGTGAGCCCCACCCAGGTGATCCCGGCTGGCCAGGACAGGCAGAAGCAGAGGGTCAGAGACAGGCAGTACAGCTGCAGACAGGGCTTGGCTGCACTGGCCTGGGGCTGGAGGAGCAGGCACCCAGCCCAGGGCAGCCTGGCGATGGCTCTCATTGCTGTGGGCTCCACCTGCCGCTGACCCTGCATCTCAGGTGCCCCTGCAGACCTCCATGCAGAAGGACCTCAGCTTTGTGTGGTGGAAGCAAGACTGCCAGGGTGGTCAGGGCCTGTGCTTACAGTGGATGGCTAATTTGGATATGAGGGCATGATACTAGCGAAAGCCACCGCCTGCTAGTCCCATTTAAAATGAAAGGATGGAAAGAAGAGTTCAAAACAAAATAACGGATGTGTTTCAGAGGAAAACATCCCATGTGCAAAGGAGAGCAGGGTTTCATTCTGGACAGTCAGACAGATGTCAGACCATCATGTTTGCACAGCCCGAAGCTAATCATTGTGAAACACGAAACGGCCCCCGCCACCGGACACCCTGTGTCCCGTCCTTCCCAAACCCGCCACACAGATGGATCCATAGCAGCCACGGACAGGAAACAAACAAAGGCTTGGAAGCAGAAACAAAAGGCAAAGGCATGGGCAGCATGGGAGGCATATTCCATCAAATGTACTTACAACAGAGAACACACAGACATCACATCTTCAACCATCCTAAGACAAGAAGACAAAGAAAAGAGAGACAGACAGAAGGAACTGACAAAAGGATATGCCTGCAGACAACCGCTTATCAATGGGTCAGGAGATGACAACTATCGCCAGAGGTGCTGCTGGGGAGGGTGGGCAACAGCCCAGCATTTTGGCAAGACGCTGCTGGGGCATGACTCCTCTCCCAGCTCTTGGGACCCCACAAAGCACAGGGCCCTGGAGAGCTCTGTCACCCCAGCACAGGGTCTTCCAAGCCAACAGCACCCACCTGTTCTAGACTGAGGGATGTGGTGTGAACATTCCCAACCTGTGTTAGCACCGAAGACAGAAGAACGTGGCCATGGACAGAATACAGCCGGGCCATCTCGGGGAGGGAGGGCGAGGTATAAGTGATGGGGCGACAGGATTGCAGTTATTTTGGGTTTTTTCTTCTGCCACACTTAAGGCTCCCGGCATATATTTCATGGAATCTCTAAGAGTCTGATGGGGTTATTGATTCAGGACCAGGGGACATTCATGGCAGGGAAGGGTTCCCTGCCACACCAAACAGTGCAGAGTGACCCAGGGCCAAAGCCTGTTAGAGAGAATCCTTGGCTCATCTCAGATGTTGAGTACATGGGGGAGCCCAGAGCAGCAGGTAAATGGGTCCCCCTGCCTGGCTCATGCCAGGCTGACTCAGCGGGGCCAGCTCTGTGGCCTACTGTGCAGCAGAGACATCAGAAGATGGGACCCCTCAGCCTGGCTAAATTATCACTGGCATTTCTCAGGACAGCAAGCAAGTCTGCAACCAGCCAAACACATTTTTCCTGCTCCTGTGTCCTCAGAGTGGACCTACAGCTGCCAAAGTGAGAGCTGAGGCACAGCTTGGGACAACTCTGCAGGCACAGTCAAGGCCGTCATGTCCGGCAAGTACCAAAGGACAAGAGGCCCAATTACTACTGACTTCCTGGGCACTGCAAGGTGTCACCTTCAGGTTCCAGCCACCTCACTTGAGCTTACAGGGGCCTCTGGGCTCCTACCTACCAAAGCTTCCTAGAGGGGCCAGTGGGTTAAACACTGCCTGCAATGTTGACAGGCCACAGCAGGACTGGGCTGCCATCCTTTCGATGCAGCTCCCTGCTAACGGTTGGGAAGGTAGTGGAAGATGGCTCTAGGGCTTTGGGCCCCTGTTGCCACATGGGAGATATAGAAGGAATGCCAGGCTCCTGGTCTCAGCCTGGAGTAGCCCAATCTGTTGCAGCCATTTAGAGAATCAAACAGCAGATGGAGAACAATCTCTCTATCTGTCCATTTCTCTTAGAGAGAGGAAGGAAGAGGGGGATGGGGCATGGGGGGTGGGAGATGGGGGAAGGGTTCTTAAAGCTGGTTAGGTGTATGGCCTTGCATAGCTCCTGGGTCCAACTCTCATTCACAGTCAGAAACAAATACTATGGACTGTACGTCACAGGGCATCTCCTGGCTTCCCCCCAAAGCAATGTACTCACAAAAGCAACCGTGGGCTAAACAGGGAGAAGGGCAGTGCCCAGCAGGGATGGGCGAAGGCCACCACTGTAGCCCCAGAGAGGAGGAAACCATGCACTCTACCTGCTTAGTGAAATGGGCAAGGACGTGGCGTCACACAGCAGCCAGGGCACAGGCTAGGGCAGCCAGAGGCTAGGTGGACCCCCAGCTGTACACGGGTCACGGGCAGCGTGCAGACCCCGGCCTCCCCACCCTTCCCACCATCACCCCTCAACTTACGTCTTAAGGGGCGTCTTCTTCTTCTTGGCGGGCTTGTTTAGCCCGTCCCCGTCCACAGCGCCAGCTTCAATGGCACTGGCTGGGATCTCAAAGGAGGCTGGGGACTTAGATGGGGAGCTGGGGATCTTAGAGGACGTCTTAAAGGGGTCAACGGACTCGTCGCAGGCTTCAGGGTCAAAGGTGTAGGACTGTTGGGGCAGTTTGGGAGACTCCTGCATTTTTGAGGTGGAAGAAAAGGGGTTAAAGTTGGGGTCATCCCACTTGTCAAGATCAAAGGTGTAGGTACCTTTGGCGATAGGGATGTCGCTGGGCTCAGCAGGGGAGCTGGTGGGTGAGGCAGGGGCGTTGTCCAGTTTCTCGGGGGTCTTTTTCATCTTTGGCCTCCGTAGGGGCATCTTGGTGATGGGCTTTTTGCCTGTCTTTTTGGTAGGAGGGGTGCTGTCCCCCTGGCCGTCCTCAGAGTAGTCGAACTCCAGCCTCACCGGCAGCCCTCTGGCAGGGGAGTCCCCTTGTCCCCCACTTTCCGTGGAGGTCCCCTCTGCCGCCTCGGGGGCCGTGCTGCTGGACAAGGCTTGCACTGGGGGAGAGTTCTGTACTCTGCCACCCGCCGGGGCTGGAGCACCAGCTTCCGCCGTATCCTCCGAGGCTGGCGAGCAGGTGGTGTCGGGCACAGCTGCAGGTTCCGGGGGACTCTCCTCGGTCGGGCCCGTTCTGGAACCCTCAGGCTTGGCTGGCTCCGTTTTGGTCTCTGATGCTACATGCTCCTCAGTGTGGACAGGTCCCTCGTCGACTGGCTCTGGTTGTGTCTCTTCCACTGCGGGGGTCTCTGTGGGCTTCTTGGTGGTGTGTTTCTTTTTTAAGGATGGCGGCCTCGGCTTTTTAGTTCGCTTAAGGGTGCTAGATGCACTGCTGGGACCCGTGCTGTATGCATCCACGGCAGGGGCCGTGGCCTCAGGGCTGCCCGAACAGGAGGCACCATCAAAGTCCCCGGCTTGCAGGCTGAGGGAACGGGGCAGCGTGGACTTGGAGGCAGGCACGGAGTCTGAAGATTTTCTCCGTGTGCTCCCTGCGCACTCCTGAGGCTTGGAGTCTGGGCAGCGAGGCTCTGAGCTCTGAAAGGAGTCAACCAGCTCGATGCTGTCGAAGTCCAAGTTGTAAGTCCCACTACTGGCTATGGGCTTGTCTTCATCGAAGACGGCTGAGAAGGAGTGTGAGGGAGGCCGGAAAGGGCTGCCTTCCACTGAGTCGTGCCGTGGGCCATCGGGCACGGGGGTCGTCTCAGAGCTGCAGCCTGGGAAAGGGAGACAACACCGTCACTGGAGAGGTGTCATCCCCAGACTGCCATCCCCGAGGGTGAGCAGGAGCTGACAAATGCCACCACTGGGCACCTGCTTGGTCGCAAACCCCACTTCATTACTTTTCGAATCTGTGAAATTGGAGTAATGATGGCTGATGGAGGGACAACCCAGACTACTCCAAACACATTTGTCAAGACCCTAACCAGGACTGGGGATGCAACAACCAGCAACGCAGATACAACCCTTGCCTTCCTGCAAGTCACATTTCTCAGGGAGGAGACACTGAACAATCAGACTGTCAGAAAGGGGTTGTGGCGCGGCAGTAAAGCCGCCGCCTGTGATACTGGCATCCCATATGGGCAGCAGTTCATGTCCCGGCTACTCTATCGCTGATCCAGCTTACTGCTCATGCCCCTGGGAAAAACAGCAAAAGATGGTCCAAGTGCTTGGGTCAATGCCATTGGTGTGCGAGACCCTGATAATGTGTGGGAGATCCTGGCTTTGACCTGGTAGTAAGCAAGCCTCTGGGCATCTCTCTCTCTCTCTAAGAAGATGATTCATAATAAGGAGAAAAATAAAGCAGGAGGGAAGGGAGCATTACATTTTAAAATAAGGCCCTGTGGGGTGAAAACATCTGAGCAAAGGCACGGGTCTGTGGGCTTGCTGGAGAAGGAAGCACCCTCGGCACAAGAGCCAGCAGGTACAACAGCTCTGGGGCAGAAGCACCCTCAGACCCTCAGAGGAACCACAAAGAGGCCAGGGTGGCTGCAGCAAGGGAGACAAGCAGGACCCAGCATGGTGAGTCTGTTCCCCAGAGCCTCAGGGAGGACACTGGGAGGCCCCCAGGCAACAGCGATGGGATCGAGCACATCCACGGCTGCCATCATGCCCTCCAACTCTGCCTGCCTCACTTCTGCCTCTTGTCCCTTCTCAGCTCTCTTGGCTACTTCCTTCCAGCCAAGAGGGCTGCTCCTTATTCCCCAGGTGTTGGCTCAATGACCTGACAACCCCACTAGTGCAAAGGGACCTGGACAGCCCTGGCCTGGCTCTGCTTGCACCGGTGGCACCTTTCATGCATCTCCAGGGCTCACAGCTATTCGGGGGCTGTCGAGGATGCTAAAAATGTTATCAGGAAACCACAAAGGCAGCTCTGGACCACGCAAGGCAAATGCAACAGAGTACAGAATAAGGAACAAAAGAGGCCAGGCCTCTGTGGCTTAGGACACAAACCAGCAAAGGTCAGGAACGCTGACCCTGAGCTGGTTTCTCTCATGAGGATGCGACAACTTCTACAGTACAGATGGTACTCTGGGCAGTGCTCAGCAGCCTCTGCCCGCCAACCCTTTGCTTCGGGCATGGCGCCCTTGATGCTCATCAAGGAAGTGGGAGATTACAGCTGTGAGGAAACCGGATGGCTCGAGTCTGGGAACTGCTTCAACATCTCCCTGCCTCGGCCTCCACAGCCATGTTCTCTTGCAGGCGGGGCCAGTGCCTTCTGAAAGTCAGTGTGGGTCTGCCCTGACTTTGAGCCTTTCTGCATCTTAGGTGTCCTGACCATGGAGCACCTGTGTCAAGCCTGCTGGCTCTGCTCTCTCTGCAGCCCCTTAAAATCCCAGGTCTCCATCCATCCAGCCTTCCCTGGGAAGTGGCTCAGCAGCACAGGGATGGGGTTGCAGGTGCATCTCCAGACAGGGAAAGTGTGAAATCCAGATCCTCCCACGTGCTTCCTACCCCAGTCTGTCTGGGGTCAACATCTATTTGCCTGGAGGAATAAGCGGGATTTAGAATGAGCTGGGCTATGTCTTTCAGCGTGAGTCTAGACTCCCTATGGGCTTTTGTTTCTGAGCTGGGAGGGGCAGGGTGGCAGAAGGGACAGGCAGATGCTGTCCCCTGGTTCTGTTCTCTACTGAAGTGGCCTGCAAGTGACCTGCAAGGCACAAGCCTGACACCTGTCTGCAGGAGTGGGGGAGGCCATGTTCCCACACTTTCCCCATAGTCCACTGTCATACATTCTCTCCTGGGGGCCCTGTGGAGCCCACCAGCAACGTGCCCTGCTGGGCCTCTGTCCTGCCCACAGGGCTCGGGAGGGGAAAGGCCTGACGCAGGCAGTGTGGGCGCTGTCAGGACTGCCTCACACCTTTGTAGCACCCCATGTAAGTCAGCACACGGATGAGGATGCTACCTCTGGGGCAGCCAACCGCTGGGATCTTCACACAGCCCGGGCTGGGGGAAGGAGTGGGGGTGGGGTGCCCACACACAAGCCCCAGCCTCAAGCCTTCTGACTGCTAGCCTGGCTTTCAGAGGACACGGAGAAGTAGTCTCAGGTCCCAGATATACATATGATGCAACCAAGGGCTCGGCAGGGAGAGAGCTCAGGGGTGTGAAGCACTCCCCAGCTGAGCCCTGCCCTTGTGGAGTTCCCTCACAGGGCTCCTCTAAGGCTTGTGCTGTCAGAAACAACCACTAAGGGAGAGGGTGGCATGGCTTGTGTTTGCCTGTAAGAGTGGGCTGTTCTCTGCTTCGTGGGAAAGGAAGTCAGGCACAAGGAGGAAGGGCGGGAACAAAGAATGGACCAGCACCCCAGGGCCAGCGGCCACACGGCCAGTCCTCTCTGCATTCTCCTCTGTGTCCAGGCATAAAGGCATGGTAGCATGCCCTCCTTTCCTTCCAGACTCTTCTAAAGCACCCCACGCAGTCTGAGACATGAATACATGATACCTGCCCCCAAATCCCTGGTTTGACCTGGGGATTACACAGTATCGGCCACTTGCTCCTATCCACCGTGCAAGAGCTTCTGAAAATAACCCGGCTGCCCACTCCCCACACTTCATCATGTGAGAGACGGGAGGCAGTACACCATGAGCAGCGCCCCTCCTCTCCTCCACATTCAAAGCAAATAAATTCCAATCAGCACCCGGGGCCGGGGAGATGGGAAGGGGGTGCGAGCAGTGTCTGTGCTAACTCAGCAAAACCCAGATCCCGCTGCTGGCTGTCAGACGGGAGAACACAAACTGCATTTGTCAGGCACACAGCTCGGCCCTGGCGCCGGGGAGCGCATCTGCAGAGGAACAACGCCCTGGGAGCAGGCACCCTTTTGGAAACAATGGCCTGCTTGAACCCAGGGCAGATCAGAAGGATGCCAAGGTCATAGGGCTGCTTGGCTCTCAGCCAAGGCACAGGTCCAACGAGTGGGTTGGCCCTGGCCAGCCTTGTCCTGCTTCTCCCACCTGTACCCCTGCTCTGGGCAGCCTTGAGCTCAGGCACGTGGACGTCCAGCCTACGGGCTCTTGCGCTATCCTGGGTCTCACTGCAGGCACAGAGAAACCTCTGTCCTTAGAAAGCCAGGCCAGAGAAGGGAAGAGGTGGACCTCAGAAGGAGTTGCTGCCATGCACCTAGCATGTGGTCTGGAGGGAGCTGGCCTCACAGACTCTTTACAGGGAGGGCTATGGCCAGAGCAGGAACCTCTAAAATGTGGGGACCAGGGGTGGGCTAAGACATCTGTGGGAGCTGGTGCTGTGGCACAGTACGTTAAACCTCTGCCTGCAGTGGCCAGCATCCCATAAGAGTAGCGGTTTGAGACCCAGCTGTTCCACTTCTGATCAGCTCCTTGCTGGTGTACCTGAGAAGGCAATGGAAGATGGCCCGAGTCCTTGGGTCTCTATATACACATGGTGGACCTGGAGGAAGCTGCTGGTCCTAGCTTTCGACCAGTCCAGCTCTGGCCACTGTGGCTATTTGGGGAACGAATGTGGATGGAAGACCTCTCTCTCTGTCACTCTGCCTTTCAAATATTAGAATTAACAACAACAATAGGACACCTGCATCCCACATTAGGGTACCTGGGTTTCCAGTTCTAGTCCCAAGTCTCATTGCAGCTTCCTACCAATGCCGGCCCAGGAGGCAGCAGAAATGACTCCAGACATGGGTCCTGCTGCCTCCGTGGGAGACCCAGAGCCTGGAACCCCAGCTGCCAGATTTGGTCCTGGCTGTTGTGGCATTTAGGGAGTGAACCACTGAATGGGATTCTCTCTGCTACTTGAATAAATAAACAAAAAATCCTAACAAAATAAAGTGTGGGGCCTGGAGTAGTCCTGGTGTTAAGGCAGTACTTGGCCCCTGGCCAGCCTGTGTGGCACCCCATTGGCAAGCCCTGTCTCCTCCCAGGGCACGTGGCACCACTCCTGAGAACACAAACCAAGTGGGCAGGCTGGAGGTGGGGGTGACACCTGCTCTATGGAAAACGGACTCCAAGGTCTGTGATCTGAGTCACCCGAGTGCAGACCAGGAGTCGAGCGTCGAGAAATAAATCAGGCAGCACAAAAGTGACGGGGAGTGAAGGAGCCACAGAGCCGGGCAGCGCCAGCTCGACTTCCTCTCACCACGATTGGCCATGCCTGACCGGAAGTGCCCTGGCATAAAGCCACTCACAGGAAATTCTACACTTTAACCCCATGTGATAAGGTCAAAACGGCTGCACTAAAAACACACCGTCAGGCCACGATGTGTTTAAGAGGTGCAAACAAATGAATTCTGCGTTTAGACTCAGGTCCTTCTAAGGAAACTTATGTACTAGCAAGGGTTCTTAAAAAAGAAGTCTGAAAAATCTCAAAACACCAGATCCCAAGCATCAGGGTGAGGCGGACTCGGCCTGCACCGCCCACAGTGCCCAGACCCGTGGCAGCTTTGTTACTGCAGCAAAAGTACAAAGTTACCAACATTCTGACAGCAGTGAATGGCCAAATGTTGCAACCCAAGACCATGCTGCAACTTTCTTGACCTGCTTGTCCGCACTTCAACTGCAAGGTTCCCAGAGCTCCCCACCCCACCCCAACACCTGTAAAGCAAGTCCAGCACAGCCCACCACCTTCGCTTATCTGCAGTCCCACACACCTCATGTAAACCACCACCCACCGCCAAGGAGACCTGGGGCAGCCACAGATTGGAGACGCAGCCAGCAGTCTCTCAGGTACCCCAAGGTGGATGCCAGCTAGGCCCCGCTGCAGGGATCCCGGGCGCTCCTGGGCCTTCATTACCTGGTTCTTCTGGGGGTGGCGGTATGCTGATCTCAGGTTCAGGGATGACTTCCGGGGGCGGTGGGGGTGGGGCTGGGGGAGCTTTGACAGGGGTCGTCGACTCCGGAGTCTCAAATGCCTCTTCCGAGTCAGAACTCCTGAGGGCGAGAAGGAGACACGGGGGTTAGAGGGATGCCAGAGCTGCTTCTGCCATGACACTGGTGGCCTTCGGACCGCAGGGCGGTGCGTCCAAAGCACCACCCAACTCCGCTCCTCGGCAACAGACATGAGGACTCACTCCCAAGCCAACCTTGCCACCAGCTTTGAAGGTCCGCGAAGGAGAGGCGCTCTGAACTCAGCTCTGCTTGCAACACCTACCTGTCCCTTCGTGGCAACGCACACAGCAGGCTCCTGATGAACCCTGGCAAATGATGGTTGGTGATTCCCAGTGCTACAGAGGCATCTGTTCGTTTCCTGCTGCAGTCCCACCCACCTCCAGGACCCCCCACCCACCTCAGGAACCCAACTCTCCAAGCACCTGTTTTCCTGGCGCTTCTGATGCAAACACAGATTAATGCGCATGTACTCCTGGTGTGGCCTCCCCCACGAGAGTAGCCAGCCTTGTTTATCCTAAGTCCCCAACCCTAGAAGAGGAGGCAATGAATGAACAGCAGCTCAGTGAAAGAGTGAATGAATGAATGGAAGCCGGAGAGCAAGCCAGAAAGCACAGCCAGTGACCCCCGACCCTACCAGTGGGGTTAGCAGCGAAGCCTGCCCTCCAGGCAGCTGCCCCACGCAGAGAACAGCACCAAGCGAGAATCCCCCCAGAGAAGCTCTGTGGGCTGAGATGCTGTCTGTGATGCTGGCATCCCCCATAAACCAGTGCCAGTTCAAGTCCTGGCTGCCATCCTTCTGCACCCTGCTAAGGCACCTAGCAAGGCAGCGCCAGGTGGGCCAAGGGCTTGAGCCTCTGCCAGCCATGAGCAAGATCACAGTGGAGTTCCCGACTAGGAAGTGAACTTGCAGATGGAAGACCTCATTTTCTCATCGTCTTGCTCTCTGTCTCACCTTGCCTTTCAAATAAGTAAAGAAATTCGACGAGGGAGAGGGGAAGGGGATGGAGGAGAAACTGCTTTGCCCATTACCAAAGGGAAGCAGCTCCCCAAAGGAACGCCTTGCCTGGGTTAAAGACGCCCCACACCAGCTACCTCCCTAACCCAGCTGCCTGGGCTCCCTGATGGGCACAGATGATCCCTTTAAGCCCCTACTCAGATGGAGACCCTGCAGATCCAGCACTGCAAGCTGCCCACACAGAGAGCTCCCACAGGCATGAGGGCCCAGTGACCCCATGTTCTTCTACAGACCCTCAGCCAGTGACCAGCAGGGAGCAGCGAGAACCACAGCGACCTCTCAGCTCTGTGCTGGAGCCAGAGCAGGAGCTGCTCCCACGAGAGCCCCAAGGACGCTGCTTTTATGATTAGTTTCTCTGTAACCAACTTTACTAGTGCCAAACACCAACCTCCTCCCAGAGCCTGGGCTCCTCCCAGCAGCTCTGGGGAACAGAGACAAACGCCACCATCAGAGCTGCTTCGGATGGGCTCCAACGAACGGCACACTGGCAAGTTTCGAGACACAGTACTTGATTCACGCAAACACAGCGGGAGGGACTTTATCTTCCTTTACAACATCCCTTACTGTTAACGTGCTTAGCTTCTCTCCGTAAGGAGACTGCAAGACCCATACCTGGACAACAACCGAACTGGGGACCTGCAGTTTCACAGTCTCTCGGCATGAAAGACACAGGCAAGTCATACAACTGGATAGTAAAGAAGAGTTTCATCCTCTGGGGCAGAGGGGTGGGACTCTGGGCATAGTCTGGGAGCCCGCTGCCTCACCCCAGCCCCCAGCAACACATGCAGCAGAGGCCACACTAACACGACACGCTGAGCCAACTTGCCTCTTTTCGGAGCATCCTTGAAGGACCAGCAGCCTGGGCTCCTCACTGCTGGTCACCGCCGTCCACACCCATCGTGCCCACTCCACGGGGGACCACATCTGCCAGGTGCCAAATGCCATCTCCGCTCAAGAACAGCCTCTGCCCACCCCCTCCCCCAAACCCACGTCCACCTCCCTTGTTGAGATCTAACGCCCTGCGCGGCCACAGACACTGTGAGTGTCTCAATCCCAAGGCTCAAACCCAGATGCAGAGAGAGGCGGAGGGCTCGGTCCCTGGCATCGGCGTGCCTGGGCGCTGGCAGCGCGCAACTCCGGAGCACAAAGGGCCCCGTGCTTTCTCAGCAGCACAGGCAGGCGCTTGGGGAGGGCCGGCCACGGCTAGGCTCTCGCCGTGGAATTCCAATGAGGTCTAGGAGCTCCAGCTGGCCAGCCTGCACACCTGCTCCGAGGGGCCACCACTTTACCCCTGCCCTGCGTGGGAGGCAGTGAAGGGGAGGGCCGGGGTCGGGCACACCAAACCCTTTGTGCTTCCTGCCTGTTTTCACTATGAGCTATTGCTGCGTCAAAACACTCGAACAGCATGCACTTCCGGAGCTGCCTGCCTCCTGTTCCTAGTCCTGCACCTTCACCAGGGAACAGCCAGCCAGTTAATTAGAGGAGGCGGATGGCAGCTTTTTTAATTAGCTCTATTTTCCCCATTCAGTTTCTCTGGGCTCGAAATCTCTTCTACGAGCAAGGATTTGGGCAGTCCACCCACAGAGTCTGCATACCAAACAGCCACACGGTGGAGGCCAGTGTGTGAAGACACAGTCCCCTCAGCTGCCTGATTTCTGGTTCTCTGCTACAAGAAGCTAAAATGCAAGAAATTATTCTGCTAAGGCTCCACAGACACTTTAAAATGAAAGAAAACAAAGCTCATTTAGTTTGGCACAAATAGATACAAGAAAGACACTGTTACTGTGAAATGTTAAAATATCTAAGTCATAGAACAACGTATTTACCCAGGATGTACATATGCCATGTTCACTGCATAAGCAAATACGCAGAAATAATAATAAAATATATTTCCATGTGTAAATGTGGTTTCCAAATTTCTTTATTTCACAGATGGGAAGTTCCTGGCGTGAAAAGCCTAATAACCACCATTTGCAGTGCATTTTGTTACGCGACAGGCTTTAGATTCATCGACACACTAACCCACGTTCTTCAGAAATGTCCCATCCTAGAGATGACCACAGCCTGGAGATGCCGATGACTGGGCCAGGCCGTGTTGCTGGTAAGTGACGGGAGCCAGGGCTCTGATCCAGAGCTGTCTGCCTCTCAAATCTGTGGCTTCTGAAGGCTTTCGGCAAACTCAGCTTATAAATCATTCTCATCTGACAGTCTACCACGGAGAGCAATGAGGCTACTTGGATGAACTTGAAAATGGACACTGGGCTTCGGTAAGCCAACCGCAGCACTTGACCTGCTTCTTGGGCATGTCACAAAACACGCTGATGCTTGACTGCAAACAGTCTCCACTTTTTAACAGCGTGCCTTGTAATCGTCACTAAGGCAGGGTGGGGGCAGGAGAATTACGTAACCACACAAGCCAAATCAATCCATCAGGAGCATACGCGGGTGGCCACCGCAACTGCAGAGGGTGGCACATCCAGACAGAAGGGAGAATGGTGAGCAGCAGCCCTGACTGCCACCAGACTGCCTGCCACGGTCCCTGCTGTGTGTGTGTGCGCAGGTCAGACATGGCCTGCCAAGTGTGTTCCGGGCCTGGCATCGACACAGCACATCACCTGGGGAGGGCTGAGTTCAATGCGGTCGGAAGCAGAGGGCTGTGGCCTGCGCTCTGCGGGACTTGCGGGCTCTGTGGATTCTTTGAAACCCAAGAAAATACCAGGGGAAAAAAAACACCCAACCAGAAATTGCATTGGCTGGGCCTGCCTTCATTAAGCACTGCTCTGAGAGGAGCCTCTGCTGCAAATGCAGTGCCACCCTAGCAATCTAAAGTCACCTGCCATCAAGAACAAGTTCCTTCGCAAGCGCTGCTAAGGAACCCACTCAGGAGCAATGCCTCAGGACTCCACTTGCAAGTCCCCTACAGAAAAGTCGCTGAAGACTGGAGGGAGTTTCCTGAGACCACCTTCTCAGAGTGAGAGGGCCAGGAGAGAGAAAGGCCGTGCCAGCAATGGAGGTGGGGGCCGCTCCCCAGCCGCCAGCACACACTACCTCTACTCCAGCTCCCTGCAGAGGCCACAGCCTGAGCGGCACTTACAGGCACTGCCCAGGGTCCCACAGGCATGCCCCTTCCTCCCTGAGGAGCAGGCTCAGGGGGAGGCCACAGCGCCCTCAAAGCCCTGCACCAGGAACAGCCAGCAATACCCAGGCCAGATGACCACCTGCCACCTCTGGATAGAGAAGCAGCCCACCCAGAAAGGAAGCTGAGCTTCAGGTAGACCCAGGCTGCTGGGTTCATCCAGGCATCTGTGTGAGCCTGGTGGAGGGGGGGCTGAGTGAGCAGTTCTGAAACTGCCATGTGGCAGATTGCATTCATCGAAGCATTCTGCTGAATGACGACTTTAGATGGCCTTAGAAAAGCTATCCAACCCTATTCCAACACACACACTCCTCTTTCCCCCGCCGACAGCAACGTGCCCATCCAACACACACACACACACACACACACACCTCTTCCCCCCCCCGACAGCGACGTGCCCATCCAACACACACACACACACATACACACCTCTTCTTCCCGCCAACAGCGATGTGCCCACACTGCTCACTCTGCATGCTAACTGCAAAGGGTCTTCCCTGTGATGTGCCCATCCTGGACACAGGAGAGGTGCCTTCTCTGTGATCCCCTCCTCAATAACCAGGTCTGGGAGGAACTCAAGTTCAACTCAACCAAGTGTACCTGGCCAAGTGCTGTATCATACACAGGGCTAGTTCTGGGAAGTCAGGCTGCTAGAATCTTCCAGGCCAGTAACTCCTACAGGAGAATCAACAAAACCATAGCAGAGACAGCACAGTTATCCCACGATCCCACCAGGTGGAACCCGTCTAGTTAGTGACTTGGGTTCAAGTAATCGTCACTCAGAGGCCACGCTCAGGTGTCAACGCTCAGGTGTCAACAGGGCTTAAAAGGGGCCATGGGCCATGACCATCTCAGCCTGGCCAAGGGGGAACACACATAGATGGGTCCATA